ACTTTTTTTTTTAAATTTTATAATAAATAATTCACTCATCTTTCTCTCTTTGCTATTTGTCCTAACTTTTCCATTCTAAAATTTTAATTGAAAGAAGGAGAATAAGTAGGAGAGGAAAGTTAAAGTTTTTCTTTAAGTTTTTTAAGGCAGAGAAAAATGGAAAAATAGAAATCAATAAATAAGTAAGTATCCTTTTTGTTTTATCAAATATTAATCGGTAAAAAGAAATGAATTGGAAAAGATTTTAGAATAAAAAGCATAAAGTTAATTAAAGCAATTACTTTTCCAATTGAATCACTTTACTCTAATGTAATTGAATCATTTTATAGCAGACAGTATAATTGTTGTCAGTGATTATTCGTCTTTTTCCGTTCTCAATTCGATTTTATGACGAAAGTCCTATTTTGCAGTAAATTACCATCATTAAGCAATATTCATAAATTTAGGTTATAAAAAGACGGCCAATTTTCATTTTTTTTTATAAAAATTGGCCGTCTTTTTACAACTTAAATTATCCAATTATCCATTCAAACTTCTTTGCATAAAAAGTGGCAAATTACAAATGGATTGATTGTAAATGAAAGAAGAAATTAAGCATAAAATTAGAAAGAAAAGAATTCAAGAATCCGTTACGTTTGAGCCTCAGATAGATATCATTACATTTTAGCGGGATATTCGAAAATTTGTTCGGTACGGGAAATATTTTTGAAACTTACACGTAATTATTCAAAAAGAAAAACCACTGTTTTGTGCTAACTGATTAAAGATTCGAGATAGAATTAGTCGCTCAATTAGTTAAGTAATTGGGGTAAGTAATTCTTATTTAAATTTCATATACTAGGTAGGGAATTTTGATTGGTTGTTATCATGAACTAATAACTGAAAAGCTCTGTCATGCACATAGCTGCTTTGTGATACCACAATTAGGCGAATATTGCTGAAAATTTTTCACCTGTTTTTTTAAAAAAAAAAAGTCCCACCATTTATTTATTAATTGTTGGGAAGCACTATTTTGAGTTTCAATTTCAATTTCATTTTAGTCATCCCGGAAACAATGAATGTCATATATAGGAATAAACAAATGCATATATATATATATATATATATATATATATTTATGTTTCGTTACATTGTATGAACTAATATGAGTATTTGGTTACTATCATGAATTTCAACTTCAATTAATCTTATATAAAACTTTCTAAGGTAATAATTTTAAGAATTAATAGTTCTCAAATAAGTATTTTATTTTTCTTTTATTCGTATTCATAATAAATAACATGTATGTAAAAGTATCACATTATTTCTGTATATGACTAACAGGCAGTAATTAAATATTAAATTACAACATATATTTCGAATATGGATATGCAAAAATTATCATTAATTGTCCCTCAATAACAGTGGAAGTTGTAATGAGTAGTAGTAAGGTGATATGATAACTGGAATTTGGCTAAAAATATAAGATGAACTAAAGATAAATGACAAACGAACTAACATCATAAATAATCGTGTATTATCCTTGGATACCATAAGTATCATTGTGTTCTGTAAAAATCAGTGAAAACAGTTGTTGACAAATGACAGATAACAATGATAGTAACCATCACTCCATCAATTTTGAATGGATGAATGAGTGATAGTGCAGTAACATAATTCATCCATCCTTTCCTTATATAAGTTCTAAAAGTACTTATCAATCAGCTGCTCCATTTCTGTATCGTCCATATTTTATTTGCTAAAATTCATCCAATGGTCATTTTGTTTACTAATCCGATATACGTGGGGATAAGTGAATATATCCATAGAATGAATGTTACAATAAATCAATGACAATTAAGCTGATCGTATGTATTATCATCAGTAATATAACTTTTATTGTTGAAGAGTTGAGATTACGGTATTTCTTCCGGTTCAGAAAAGATAAATGATAGCAGAAGGTGGACAGAAAGTGATAAACGGAAATTATGAAAAATTTTGGGATAAATAATATGGAAGCATGCTCTATCGAGTAACATTTATACACGTATATTTTCTCGATATTTAATTTTAGTCAAAAAAATTTTTTTTTGAAAAAGAAATTGAAATTTTAAACTGAAGTGCTATCATTATTATGAAATATGGTAAGTTCGAGTTATTGGTAAAGGAAATTGGAGGACAGAAATTAAAGGATTAACACATACCCTGATCAAAAGTATCATCGGTGTCAAATTTACATCATCAATTTTATGAGCGATCACAGGATAGGTCATAGGTTATAGGATATGAGCAGTCAATCGAATTGATTGTAATTTTTTTCTTCGCTACTTTTCTATTTGGTCGTTTAATTGCAAAGTTTTGTTTTCTCTCGGGAGGAATCACCAAAAGAGCCATTTTAAATTAGCCATCTACTTTTTTAATTGTTGAAAATCTCCAAATGGTAGCGAAAAAAAAAATACTTGCTCGAAATATATTTGTGAATACTAATAGTTGGATAATATCAGAAAAAACTATCGAAAGTCATTTTCATCCGGAAAAATTTGCGTAAAATTATGAAAAGATTCATCGTACCTAACATTTACCTAGAATTAATGTATAAGTTATCAAGTTACTACGTTCGTAATTCGTTCATTATTCATCTAATTAATATTTGTCAATATTTTTTTGAAAAAGTTTTCGTTAGTAAAATGTTAGCCATCCTTATTAATCTTTTACGATAAGTATATTGTAACTATTATTTACATAACGGTTTTTTCATTTTAAATTATAAATTTCAAATGTCTTACAAAAAAATGTCCAAAAAAGTTTTGATATTACGAGAGAGGCGAAAGAATAATGAAAAATCGAGCAAAATTAATATTTTATCAAATAGTTAACAAAGACACATCGATGCATTTGAAAGAAGAAATAGTAAAACCAAATTTTCTTTTAAGGAGAAGTTACATATTCATTGGTAGACAATAACTGTAAGGTATTTTCCATTTATTACTCTCAATACTACGTACTTTTATCGATAGCAAAGTCAACCTCTTCTGGAAAAAAAAGTAAATAAGTTTGTGTGATATTTCAAAGCTTCATAATAGGTAACTTAATTCACATCATAATAAACGTCATAAGTGACTTGAGTATAGATTAAGTTAAGTTATTCTAAGTTAAGCATAATATGATACACATAAGCTACAACCGAATTTTCTAAAGCACGTTATAGCAATAGTATAACTCGAAATCCTTATACTAATAATTTAGGATATTTTTGTAGCTGTATCAAATAATCCCAATGTAAATGGCTAAAAAAAGCAAGTTCCGATAAGTTCATGAAAAACAAACAAAAAAAGTTCACATTCTAATCTGAATGAAAGATTCATTTTTAAAATGTCGTGAGAAGTATATAGAATTCAGTAGAATTTGCTAAATTACTCAAATCTTAAAATGTAGATGTCAAAATAAAGTCGAAGATTCAACAAGTACCCAATTAATATTACCGTACCAATAAGAATGTATGATTTATAGCTGGGGAAATATATCACATATACCTGAATTTATTTAAATTTCAATGGTAGAAATCCTTCTTAATCATAAGTGCTTCATGAATGACATAATCTAATATAACTTTAATAATTCCAAGATAATAGCCAAAACTATAAAACAATGATAAAAAGGAAAATGTTATATTTTTATCAAAAATCTGGAAAATATCACAAATGTGAAATTTAACAAATTCTTAAATCAATCAACTAAACAATCAATCATTCCACTTGCTTTCAATTTTTCCTAATACATCCTTCAGTTTTTCAATTCTTCCTACGATTTTGCCGAAAAATTGAAGCAGAACTCAGCAAGCATTAATACCGCTGTTTGCCTAAACTGATAAACAAATAAAATGACACTTCCATTTCATTTATCAAATCCTTAATCACCCACAAATTTCATCGCCCCTACCACCTACAAACCATTTACAGTACCTAGTGCAATAGTTCCTTACATGTACCAGCCAATTAACCAATTGATTAATCAATCAATCAACCAATCAACCAGATTATCCAAAGTCACATTCATTGCGCAAGATTCATTTAATAATATTGCTCATTCGGAATGTCTCACTTGCAAACAATTTCAAAAATTCTTACAATACAAAAAATTGATACAATAAGCCGAAGTCGCTCTATTGATTGTAATTTACGGAGTCATCAATCATGTCATATGTGACAATCAAGCGAATTGATAGCGTTAGCTCAAAATTGATTAGCTCGATCATCTAATAAAGAATTATCGTTTTTTTACATTTTTGAAAAGAAACGATCGTAGTCAATCAATCGGTCGAGCAATCAATCAATCAATCGACCAATCACTCAATCAATCAATCAATTAGAATCTATGGCATCAAATCATCCTAAAAGTGTTTTTGTGTATAGGTGATAGAGATACTAATTGCTAACATTGCTTCTTCAATCATTTAGTGCTAACATTGAAAATGTTCAACTTTACATTTAGTCTATTCAACAATTTAGACTAGGAAGGGATTTCATTTAATCACAATGAAAAGCAGATTTTTTTTTCTCTCCACTTTGTTCTATTTGTTTTATATGTTTTTAAATAATGTGATAGTATTCACCAATAACAAAAATGTTAAATGGATTATCTGTTTGATCTCTTCCAACCGAATTACATCATTATGCTCATTTCCAATTTGTATTTCCGGAAGATTTGAAATGTATGTACGAAATTTTTTCATACGTGTTGCGAGATTTCTTTTTTATTTCTAGAAATGCCTTTAAAAATTTACGTTTTAAATATTTTGATAGTCGAAAAGACATACCAAGTAATTGTTTTTTTTCTTTTTTTTGCTGAACAAATACTGATAAAATCATGACTACAGTTTCATTCTTATCATGTCCAAAAAACAGAAAACAACAAACTCCAAAAACTTTTCCATAAGATGAAAAGGAAAAGTGGCAAACAGCTAATTTGTTTTCCTTTAACAAACGCTATAAAATTCCTTTCTGGGAAAAAACCTCATTTACTTAAGATGATAAATGATTTGTCATCTTAATCACTAAGTAAAAG